GGCATTGATGGGAGACTTGGAGGGTAACAAAGTTGGCTGGAAAGAGGAGGATGGATCTGGGAAGAATTGAGAGGGAGGAATGTTGAATATGATCAAAATACATGGTATGAAATTCTCAAATAATAAAAGTATAAAAATGTGATGTATGAATGCCTTCATCCAGAAACAGAAGAGAAAAAAATCCTAACTCAACTGCTAGTGAGATAAAGAATCAAATGAGATCAGCCTTTTCAGGACTTCTATATGGCCATCATCCTTCTAAGTCAAGATAGACAAAAAGACAGAGTGATGACTCAGCAGATAAGCTCACACACTGCTTTTGCAGGACATAAGTTCAGTTGCCAGTACCCATCACAGTTCATTATTGTCTGAAACCCCAGCTCCAAGGGATCTGAGGTCCTCCTGTGTCCTTTGCAGGTACCTAAACTCATTTGTGTGCTTATGCACATGCACGCACACACACACACACACACACACACATCTATGTATGCATTAATATTAGAAGTGAGAAGTCAGTAGATTTGGATAATGCCTAAGTTATTCTTTAATACACAACACAAAAAATAGCATCAGTTTCCCCTGTTAAAGGCTTCTCGTGCATATCCAAGTAAGATTTCCCCAACATTTGGTTATCATTATTGCCTGGACCTACACTACAGCTCCAGTAATCCAACAAAAGGCAAAACTACTGTTAAAAGATTCCAAAGTATTACTTAAAGCTACTTAACACTTTATTGGGTGCTAAAGAAACCAATGTAGGAAAAAAATGTCATTATAAGGCAGTCATTTTAGCATGACTTTGAATGCCCTGTCTGAAACTGTAGTGCAAACAAAAAGCCCATCTATCTTGCAGAAAAACATCTTAATGAGGTACAAAGAAATGACATCTCATTGGAATGTCAGTGACCTTTAAGGTTTTTTTTTTTTTTCTATACAATGAGACAAAAGAAAGATCCTCTTCTCTTTCTTCTGGAAGAAGTTTGAGGTTAGAATACACCCATGGTTGTTGCATCAGAATGCCCACCCTTGTTTTCTGCTTCTGCTTATATATACACTGCTTCTGATGCTCAACCAAGGATTTTTCTTTTTCTCAGAAACCAGAAATGCTTGGGATCCATTATCGAAGTCAGTAATCCGTAATCTAGAAAGATGTAAAAAAATAAACAACATTAATTAATTCACTCATCTTTTATCATTTAAAGGGTGTGTGTGTGTGTGTGTGTGTGTGTGTGTGTATGCACATGCTTGCACATGCCCGTGTGAGTTTATGTCTATCATGTGTGTGCAGATGCCTATGCGAGTCAGAAGTCACTGGATCCCCTGGAATGAGTGTTACAGCAGTTGTGAGCAATCATGTTGGGTGCTGGGAACTGAAGCTGAGTCCTATACAAGAGCAGCAAGTGCTCTTAACTGAAGAGCCATTTCTCTAGACCCTCACCTCTTTCATTTGTGCTTTCCAGCTTCTCATTTTTTCCTCCATAATTTTTCTAAGGCCAAGTTCAGGAGATGCTGACATATCCTCTAATAGTGTGACATATGCATGCTACAAGATGGTGTGCTGGTACTTGTTTAACATCCAGACTCTTCCATAGAATCTGATATGGGGATGAGAGAGGTCACTCCATGGTTAAGAGCACTGGCTAGACTTGTAGAGGACACAGGTTTAATTCCCAACCTTGCAGCTTACAACCATCTATAACTCCAGTTCTAGGGAATCTCATACCATCTTCTGTCCTCTAAGCCAGAATATGAATGCAGGCAAATTACCCATACACATAAAATTTTAAAAGTTAAGTTAAAATTTTGATTTGTTGGTTTGCCTTTGTGTGTGTGTGTGTGTGTGTGTGTGTGTGTGTGTGTGT